CTGGTCTGTCCCGAACTTTTGAAGCTGGTGGGCTCTGGATAAAAGTCAAAACCTTAACTTGATGCTGACCTAGAGGTTTTTGTTGAAATCCTGTTTTAAGTTTTTGGGAAAGATTTATTTCACCCTAAGCTTGTGACTGCTTTCATCAAACCTTAGAGTGATTGAGAAAGAAAGAGAGAAAGAAAGAGAGAAAGAAAGAGAAAGAGGGAAAGAAAGAGACAGAGAAAGAGAGAGAGAAAGAAAGAAGGAAGGAAGAAAGGGAAGAGAGAAAGAAAGTGGGAGAGATACACACAAGAAAGGAAGGAAGGAATGGAGGAAGAAGGAGAGAAAAAGAGAGAGACATAGAAAGAAAAAGAAAGAAAGAAAGAAATAGAAAGAACTTATGACCACAATTGTGCCCAAAATTTTGGTTGCTAAGCAAGAGCATCGTTAAGTGAGTTTCACCACATTTTCCAAGTTGGCCATGCCCACCCGGTCACATGACCACCAAGCTACTCCCACCTGGTCACATGACCACTGAACCACATGACCGCAAAACAGGCCACACCTACAGAAAAAGTTCTAAACAAATTTGAAACCCACCACTGCCTTCCACCCGCCTAAGATTCACTCATATGCTTGGTTTCTCCCACCCATCCACTCTGTATTCAGTCAGTTAGCATTAGCAATAGCACTTAGACTTATATATTGCTTTATAGTGCTTTCTATATATTGCTTTACAGTGCTTTCTATAAGCTGTTTACAGAGTCAGCATATTGCCCCCAACAATCTGGGTCCTCCTTTTACCCACCTCGGAAGGATGGAAGGCTGAGCCAACCTTGAGCCAGTCAGATTCGAATTCCAGGCTGTGAGCAGTGAATTAGTGTGCAATACTGCAGTCTAACTTCTGGGCCACCATGGCGCCTATTAAGACTACATGTGAAATTAAACAGATGATTTAAATAGAAATTTAAATTTTTTGTGTGTGGTCAGGGTAAATTAAATGATTAAAAAGAGCTGGTTAAGGGAGCCTCAAGTCTTGGCCATCCAATAGTGTCTTTTGGATAGGCCCTGCATCTCTGCAGAAGCTTTCTTATGAGCTTGTCATTCTGGCAATATAATTAGGTGAGATATACAGTGTGTGCAGAACTGTAAGCAGCTCCAGAGAAAATGGAACATAAATTGAACAAATAAAGAGACTCAAACTCTACCCTACAGACATGTGCAATAAAGTAGAATAAAATTAAACTAATCTAGTTAGGGAGAAGGATAAGCCATAGCTTCTATGGCCTGTTTTTTTTTCTTTTTAAATGTGAAAGCATTTATCCAAGCTGAACCACAGCTGCTGGCTTGATGTCTAAAATGATCTGCTTCAGGGCTATGAGTCTTTTTTAGCTTTCACAACCCAGTGCTATTTTGTACTCACATTCCTATTGCCTTTCTGGGAGAAATTATAAATAAAGTTGGGACTGTATGGGCACCGCTATTAGAAGGCATACACTACGTTTTCATGGTTGCAGGAAGACAAAATAGATTTGAGTCTGGTTGTCACTTCTTTGTGCAGAGGGAGAACTTTTCCTGCCTTATTCTTTTTTGAAGTCTGCAGCAGCATCTGCTGGCCACAAATAAAAATACAGAGTAATTCGGCTATGCTGGAACCCTCCTTTTAAGCAAATTTTGTGTGTTCTCTTTCTCCTACTTCAAGAAGGACAGGTTTAAATTATGGGAAAACATACCACATTGTTCCCAAACAGTTTAATAGGAAAATATTAGCTTTGCCTTAGTTTTTTATTCTTGAAATATATGAACAGGCTGCAGTTGTTAGAAGTAAATTAGTGAACTGTCATCTCTAGAGCTTCTGCAGGGATTTTATTGCTTATATTTATCTTTCCATTGATTGTTGAAGTACACAGACAATCCAAAGACAAGGCATAAAGATCTTTGCTGTGTCAGACCCACAAACAGTGAGGAATGTGATAGATTATGTTGATTGATTATGTACCTTTTGTACCATCAAGTCAGTGTTGATCCATAGCAACAATATATATAGATTTTCTCCATGCCACTGTCCCCTGCCTCATCCTTCAAGTTCCTCTGCACTTCTTTTTCCTTCCATCTTTCCAAGCCTCAGAGCATTTCAAGAGACAGACTTCCAGAGATAGCAATAGCAGGCAACCGCAATAGAAATAAGAACCAGTAAAGGGATTGGCTCCTGATACCTCTTCTCCAGATTAAGGAGAGGACAAGGATCGCCCACAAGTTTGTTCCAAACAGAAATTCCTTTGGGAAGAGATTGTGAAAGAGCTCCAGCAGGTTTGATGAGGAGCCGTTGAGGTGGGTGAATCATCTTACCTAAGCAGTGATTTGGCATCTTCAAATTGGGCACTAGGTTTGCCTACCTCCTCTCTTAACTATTTTACAAAGCTCTTTTACTCTTGAGTTTCTATATATTAAAAATCTTCTTTAAACTATTAAATTAAAACTATTTGGGAACAATTTATTCAGAAGATCTGATGAGATCTCCTGAGAAGGCAAAACTTTTTAAGTGTGGAATGACTAAGAGCCTGCAGTGCAACTATGGAGCACCGGAACAAACTATAACCCACATAGTTCAAGAATGTTCCCTCAGGAAATTTCAAGGCACCTGGGCTGATCTCATTGCAGCCACACCAGAAGCGGTTAGACGGTTAGCTTCCTGAGACATTGAATTATAACGTTTAGTCCATTGCAATTCTATGGCTCCATATTATGGTGATTTTATTGTGATTTGATCTTAATATATAATCTCCTATAGTGTATTTCATTGTATCTGTGTGTGTATTTATGTGGTGCAAAGAGCCATGGAAAGATGCCCGGCATTAGATAGAAAGATAACCTGCACATGGATTAGAGAACAAACAAAAGTATACAATATCATCAAGAGAGTAAAAGAATTGAAAAGGAAATGGGCTGGTCACATAGCAAGAAGAACTGATGGCCGGTGGACCAAAGCAGTCATGGAATAGATCCCACTTGATAAAAAGCATCCATAAAAGAGACTTAAAACAAGATGGATTGATGACATCCACAATTATTGCAGGCCCAATTGGCAAAAGAAAGTTCAGGACTGTACTGTTGAAAACATGCGGAAGAGGCCTTCATCCTGCAGTGGATACACAATGTATCAATGATTGCATGACTTCTGTAGATGCTAAATAAAGAAAACCTTTGTATTTCTATATCCTAATAAAATGATGAGGGAGGGAGGGGGAGTGTGCGCTCAGCGAACTGGTTGTTAAACCAGTAGGATTACACTCCTGCCAGAGGCCTAGATCTTCGACATAATGTGTCCAAAGAGGAATGGGGTTCTAGGAGATAAATATCTATCAATAATGCAGGGCAGGGTGAAAGGGAGGAGTTGAGATTTTGGTAGATTTGGGAGAGGGGAAAGATATTGTAAGAGTGTATATGTGAAAGAGGATAAAAATACAGTGAACTTTTTACTTTTATTGATCCTGAAACTTGCTTCTTAGAAAATATTTTCAGGGCTGACTTTAGAAAAATAAAATCACAGAACAAATAACTGTTAAAGCAAGGTTCATTCATGCACACAGATAAAGAAAGGAAATGGATAAAACAAATAAAAATGGAAAAAATATACAAATAGGAAATACAGACCAAGAACAAAATGTACAAAATGAAACAGGGGCAGATAACCAACAGTTCTAAACTAGCATATAATTAAAATATTCTGACACATCATAAATGCTTAGAATATAATGGTGAAAGTCCATTTTCAAATGGAAAATGGAAGCAAAAAACAAGATGGCAGCTCCTATGTCACCACCAGAAGAAATGATTTGGGGGTGTGGCAGGCCTGAGTCGCTGATAGTTCCAGCAATCCAGGCCGCCAAACTACCGATTCAGCCAAACCAGCCGAACTAGAAGAAACCCACCACTGATTGAACACTTGGGTTTGGGCTGTGGCAAATCCCAACATTTGCAAAGGGCAGAGGTCTTAAATCATGAATCTGCAATAGTTCACCATTTGGAACTTGTCCTTTCATAAACTTTTGGTTTATGAGCAATATGAATGGCAGCATTTGTCTGTGAATATCCTGAAGCTCTTCTTATCCTGTCCTAAATCAGTTTAATCTGATCATTTTCTTTTTTCCCTTCCAATCTGTGATAGGCATCTCACTCATCATGTGGAATGCCCTCTATACATCTGAGAAGGTCATAATCCGTTGGACCCTACTGACCGAAGCTTGCTACTTTGGAGTGCAGTTCCTGGGTAAGTAGCTGTCTTTTGCGAAATAGGAAGTAAGGAAATCTTTCTATCTCTCCCTCCTTCCCATCTCTCTCTCTCTCTCCCTCTCCCTCTCCCCCCTTTCTCTCTCCTTATGTGTGTGAAAAGAAGCAGTCCCATTATTATCTAGATATTTCCTAACTATTTTGAGACCAGGAATTTGAACCAACAGTGATATTAGAACTCATATTTGCTCGCAAAGAAGTGCTAAAAAGAAAATGATACAACCTAATTATTTCACCCAAGTCACCGAAGTTTCTAAACTCTGAAAACAAAGCAAGTCACAAGCTTGATTAATTTCATTTAAAAACCTAAGCTTTCCATCTATTTTTCAAACTTTTTTTCCCTTTCAGGCAAGGCAGGGAGTTGCAGTAGAAGACCTCCAAGGTCCCTTCCAACTCTGTCATTCTGTATTCTTTCACCAACTCCTTTTATAACCAGTTGTCCCAGGATAAAATTTCTAATGGCAGAAATCCTGTCTACCTTGCACTTTCTGAGAGATTGGAAAATTGTTTTCTTATCATAAATCAATGGGAAAAACTAATCTTTCATGTTGACAAATAAGCTGTTAAAAACAGTGAAATTTAAAAAGCTTCTACACCTACTGGAATCCCAAGCAAAATATGTGATCTGCTTTGGTTTGAATGTTCGGGTTTTAGGGGAAATTTATACAGTGAAAGTCAGCTTAATTTTTTGTTCTGGTTATTATTGCTAAGCTGTCAGTGAATTCTGTATCCATGAATCCTGGTTTATGTGTCATTCATCTTGGCCTTAAAATGTTCTCATTTCCTACTTATAGCTTAATATGAAGCACCGTTTATCTAATAGAGTTAAAAGTGATCTGAGTTATTGGGATCCTTCGTTCAAGAATCAAATATGTGCAAAAGCACATTTGTAGGCCAGCCTTCTTCATACTTTATCTACAACTTTCTTTTCATCATTGTCAAATAGGGCTAGCTAACCTTGGATGACTTTTGTTCAAAACCAAAAGTAACATGACCATCCTGCTAAATTAAGAGTGCAGCAAGTTAGTTTTTTTTTTAAGAAGATAGCTAATGTGTAGATAGTTTGCTTGGTGTAAATGTGGGTGTTTTAGCCTTCAGCTGTTTCCTTTCTTTTTCAGTGACTTCAATCACCTTGGTTGAGAGTGGCCAAGTGTCTATGGGAGCCACATTTCTTCTCATCAGCCGAGCCCTCTTTGTACTTATCAGCGGTTATTACTACTATCAAGTTGGACGCAGATCCAAGAAAGTCTAATGGCCAGAACTTTAGGGGGGGTGGGAGACTTTGGTTGATTTGGAAGGACTGGAGGGCTTTTCTATTTTTTTTCTTTTTCTTTTCCACATTCCTTTTTGTTCACGTTAGTGCATTGTCTTTAAAAGCAGGAGTCATCGTAGCATGCATCAATGTGTCAGTCCAGTGCAGGTCTCCCTGCCACAGCAGACAAGAAAAAAGAAAGATCAAAGCTGAGCTTCTTTCTGCCTAATGTCTCTTTGGAAAGGACAGAGATAATGAGGCCTGCTCAGAATATAGGGGAGAGCGATTCCCAATTGTTAACCAACTTACTCTGTTAAACTAGATGATGGCCCAGGATATCCCATTCTGCTATCCTCCAGACTGACTGGACTGAACATCTGTCACAACAGCCAGTGCAGGATGGGGATGATAGGAGTTGAAGTTCAACTATCATAGACTTGGAAAGGAATTTGGAACAGCTTTCCAAGTTTTACATTGATAGACCCAGCAAGTCCATTGAAATTGCAGTGAATGTTTTAAGTATTCTTCCTTTTCATTTGTCACGTGGGTCTCTTGTCAAGTCTGTCTACTAAAATCTTACAGCCAGGGCTGAGACAATGTCTTGCCTCATGGGGGAATCCCCAAGGCACATTATACAGAATTCTTAGAAAGTTGAATATTGACATCTTTTAATGTGCCTCTTATGAAATGATATCATGACCATACATCTGAAACCTGGACAAAAACTATATTAATTTTAAAAAGGGATTCAAGCTCTTTTGAAGGAAGCCTCAATCTGCTACTGCTTCTAAATATGCCTTTTTATTTTTTTATCATCATTTCTCCCTTTCTTCTCTGCTGTTGGCCACTTAGTACTGTTCTAGTTAGCGGTGTTTGGTTTTTAAAGTACTAGTTATTAACTAAAATACTCCCAGATACAGTAATTCTAGGAAGAGGAACTGAAATCATGATTTCTCAAACTTTTTAAAAAGACAAAAACAAAAACACAAGGAAATATTTACCAGTTTTTACAAATTATTGTCAAATGTTAGTGCAAATGAAGAATGCACAAGAGCTTGGTTATAAGCAAGTACCTAAAATGGCATAGTAAATACTGAACATGTCTAGGTTAGTTAGTATTGTAAATGCTGGAATGATTTGTGAATGTAGAAATGTCTGATTTTGATGGTCTTTTCATCCTTCTTGAAATGGAAAGATCAGTCAAATTGGTATTCATGTGCACGTGTATGTCTAGAAGCACCGAAGGGGAAATTACAAATGATTAGGTCATTTCTCATGTTTTACAGTTAGCTCCAAAACTGGATTCCACCCTATTACATGAATTAAGTCAGTATACTGTGAACTGTGACGCAACAAGATGCCCCAAAGAGTTTAGATATGGATTGTCCTCTCTTGTAGTTGGAAGAGGCTGCTAACCAGGGGTGGGTTCCTGCCAGTTCTAACCTCTTCTGTAGAAGAGGTTCCACAAATCTATAGTACTGTTTAGAACCAGTTCCAGATCCCTCAACCCACTTGTCCGCACATCATCAAGATGAAGAGCGAGAGGAGGAATTCTGGGAGTTGAAGTCCACAAGTCTTAAAGCTGTCAAGTTTGAACACCCCTGGGGTTTTTTTTCTAAAGGGTTAGGGGTGCAAGGGTCTTGTAATTTGACAGCTTTAAGACTTGCACACTTCAATGCCAGAGTTCCTGAGCCAACATGACTGGAGGAGGAATTCTGGGAGTTGAAGTCCACAAGTCTTAAAGCTGTCAAGTTTGAATACCCCTGGGTTTTTTTTTTTCTAAAGGGTTAGGGGTGCAAGGGTCTTGTAACATGACAGCTTTAAGACTTGCCTGCTTCAAATGCCAGAGTTTCTGAGTCAACATTTTGGTTGCTAAGCAAGACTGTTGTTAAGTAAGTTTCATCACATTTTACAAGTTGGCCATGCCCACCCAGTCACATGGCTGGCAAGCCACTCCCACAAAGGCCACACCTACAGAAGAGGTTCTAAAAAAGTTTGAAACCCACCACTGCTGCTAACCTAGAACAAATTCATTTATTGGGGGGTAGGGTTGAGTCCAATCAAAGTTCTCTATATTGTCTGTGTAATGGTTGCCAATTACAAATGGCAATCATAGCATGTCCTTTATCCATTCTGTTATTTAACCAAAAGAGATATATATAAGCTGATTTCTTTAGACTCAAAACCAAAGTTCTTAACGATATGAAAAAGGACAACCATAGACTAAAGTAAGAGACATATTGTTCCAGGTTTAGCCATGGGTCTACCCAAACTGCAATTTGTTATGTTCAGTTGGGTAAAAAAAGCAAATTTGCTTTTTTCCTGCCCTGTTGTTCCCATCCAAAAATTCGGAAAATCTGCAGATAATTTTAAATAAAATCAGGAATTAGTTGCGATTTCCATACAAACCACAACATTATCTATCACTTCAAGGATAAAAATCTAACAGTTTACCTTTTACTTTTCAACACCTTAAATAGTGAGCATCATGCTTTTCCCCACTTTTCCTTAATTTTCCTTATAGTAGTTTTTGTGTTTTGCCATATATTGAATATACATCAAGTAACTGTCTTCTTGAAATGGATTGCAACATTTTTATTAGCATATATCTGTTAAGATGGACCAAACTTTTCGGGTGAGCACAGTGACTCTAGAAAAAGTGTATATGATTTATATTGTGGAAAGACCTGGCGGTATCCCTAAAACTGGATAGCAATGAAGACTGAACAAGCATATTTTCATTTTCAAGGAGTAATGGTATTTGGAAAAATCTAAAGACTTATTTGTTGATGGCCAATAATATGTGCTGATTTTGCCTATTGTGGTCTTTTTTCCCCTGCTGAACTATTTCCAACACTGCCGCCTTGATCAACTATGTCTGCGCATGAACTTGGACTACCATGTATGCTGTAGCTGAAGACCGTACAAAAACCATGAATCAAATAGAAATTCTTAAACTATTTGACTTTATGATAAATGTGGTGATTCAACTGGTGAACTTAGAATTAAGAGAGAATGCCTGGAGAGATTAAATTCCTCTATAGGAATGAATTCGTTAATGCTACTTTCAGTTGTTTAAGTTCTTGCTCTGTAGAAAAGATGATTTGTACACTTAATGAAATAAGTATGATTCCAAGCAGTTACCATCTGGTATTGAGCATTTTGTTCCAAGGTAGAAAACTGAATTAGAGGAAAGAACACTTTTCAACTATGCTTTAATCCAGTCTCCAAATCTTTAAACTGAACTTTGATTCAAGAAAGGAATTATATGCATTTATGAATCAAGATATTGCCCTGTTATATTTCTATACTACATATGACTCATTAGCGTATTGAAATTCATAATTGTCTCTTTACCAAGGCTCACTTTGAGGCATTTCAAAATAGTAATGCATAGTAAAAAACCAAAACCCTGTTATATAATTATCCATGTTTTATCATCATACCAGTAGATTTTTCTAGGTTTTTCACTGATATTTGTGAAACCAATAGAAATGCATATAAATTGGGCACAATGTGATTGAACAACTGTAGCATATTGATAGAACAATATCCTTTTCATGCATATTATTATTATTTATTAAATTTATATGCCTGTCAGGTGATTCTGGGTGGCTTACAACATCACATAAAGTTTCTCGGAGCTGGAATAGTTAAGTTCACACCATCCTAGATCAGTGGTCCCCAACTTTTATGGCTTGGCAGCCTGGCTGGGGACAAGAGGGGAACCAGGCCATGCAAGCAGGGGACCAACATACATGTGCGTTGGTACACTGCTCACACGAGTGTAGTTGCAGTGTGCGCACAAGTGCCCATCAGCCCTCCTCTCCATGACCAGTTCCAAATAGGTCACGGCCTGGTATGGATCATGGAGATTGGGAGTTCTGTCCTAGATAGTAAAGTCCATTGGTCTGATATACAGTAATGGTAGGTTTTCATCCTGGGTCACAGTAACGGGCTTCAACATAGATTGAGTTTTTTTCTTAAAGATCAAACACTTGCCTGCTGTTCCTAAATCAAATATGCTCAGGGATTCCATGAAAATGTTATTAAAAGCTATAAACTGTTCCACTGAACTAGAAAAACACAGACCACCAGCACTTCACATACTGCAGGAAAGCAGCAGTTCAACATAGATTAGTGAATAAAAATACTCATCAGCTTCCCAAGTGTGTGAAAATCAAGTACACTTATTAAACGGAAGCTAATAAATGATTTCAAACACCCAGACTTTATTGGCCTTTCAATTATTTTGCATAAGTAATCATTAGGCAATAAACCAGCAACCTCATTTTTTATTTACAAAATTCCATATGCCTGCTAACTCCAACAAAATCTGGTACTGGTAAAATACATTATGAACAATCAAAAAATCTCTTACAGGCAGCTTGTCATAAAGCACACTCCTTCTAATACCATCTGCAGTCTTTAAAGCAGAAAGATCATCTGGGGTACTTGGACATTTAAAAAAAAAGTGGAACATGACACCAAGAGTAATAGGCAGATCTTTGCAAAACATATATTGTAAAGGAGTGGTGAAAAGTTCATTGGGGTTAAAAGCTATTTGAATTCAGTTATAAGTTTATCTGTTGCTGAACTAATTTGCCTTTGGTCTTTAATATGATATCTAATTGACAATAGTAATTTTTAGCCATAATGCTGAACAACCTGAAATGGTTGTGAAGGAGGAGCAACCTTCTAGCAGGATTTTGGAGAAGTTTTGCCCCTGTCCCCAAAAGGAATGCATCTTACAGTTTTTCATATAGAGAAGCAGAACTGAAGCAAAGCAACTAGAAAGGATGTTGTTGCTACAACACTAAGACACTGATAGGATTAGATGTATACTCAGGATTTGTGGCTAAAGGATGGATAGTTTAGCTGCCAAGCTTCCTTCCATCATTTATTTCTCCCACCTTTCATCTTGTGATGTGTTTCAGCAGTTTTGGTTGGTTGTTCATTTACTATACTTGTAGGACAACCATTCCCAGAGGTGGTCCCAGAGGTTATAAGCAGCTGAACATGAACAATGCAAAAAGAATAAGCAAGATCAAAATCCCTTAAAAAATATGTGCCACCCGCACAACATAAAACTTCCCCCTCTTGTGCCAATTGAAGATTTTTTGTAAGTTTCCTAAAGAACTTTGAAGGGCAACCAGAAGAACATTCTAAAGAATAGGCACAGCTATAGAAATGTATTTATT